AACAAGAGTACGGTTTTCGATGGAGTAATTCCTGAACATTTTTATTTAATAAAAAAATATTAATTTTTATTTAAAATTTATATTTAAAAATAAAACAATATAAATTAAAATTATTTAAAATAAACAAAATAAATACCTAAGTTGACCAATTTATATTTGAGAGAGGGTACGAACAAGCTTTTCTTAACAAGAGTACGGTTTTCGATGGAGTAATTCCTGAGTATAAGACTTTGAGAGGTTCTTTTTTTTTATTCTGATTGGCGTATATTTCGGAGAGTTGGAGCGAAGTGAATATGATATTTTAGTCATAAATGTTTCGTGGAGGTTTAGTTAATGGAGCCACGAATGATAATTCTAGTTTTACAAGTTAAATTGAGGAAACTAGAAGTGGCAACTAATTAAGGAGGTTAGCTAACCCTCTTTCTATGGACCACTGACATGGGGTTAATTTTTTAAAAATTATTGATAAAGTAAAGAGAACGTTATTTTTCAACCCACACTAATAAAAAGTATTTTTGTTATTTTCAATCTCAATTGACATTTTTTTTTATTAATTTAGACTGTTAGATGCAAATACTTTGTACTTTAGTGAACACACAAAAAATTATAGAAACTATTTGTGCGCAAAAAATATCATAATAACATAATCTCAACCCATGTACACTAAAGTCCTTGTTGTATCCTCACCATCACCAAGTTTGGTGTTTGAACTGTGTAGGGGATATTTCCTTGATCGGATTAGGTTAATAAAATTGCAGAGCAGCCTTTTTCATTTTTTGGGTATCTACAAAGCAGCTTTTTAGAGGTAAGAATTAGGTTAATAATCTTTGGGATAATGGGATGCCTACCATTCATAAATGACCTTTTCATTAAGCACATGCCACTCCTGTCTATAATTGGTGGACAGGAAAACTCCTTGACTGGAATAAGATGGTCATTTTCCTAGGTGGGTAATTTAGCAATTTTGATGGAGTTTTATTTGATTTTATTTTATCTTATGATGCTTTGTATTTTAGGCTATATCGAAAAAGAAGCTGCCAGCTAAGCCAAACTAGCTCATGACATAACTAATGACACAATTTTTTTGGTCAACTGTTTAATCTCATTCCTTAAGTCACCCATGATGAAGTTCTAACTTTCAAAATCCACCCTTTGATTAGAAGCCTCTAGACACCTCAGAATTCCAAAGCCCAAACCCATCTTAAAACCCCCCCCTTCCCCTCTGCCCTTCAATCTAATTCTTCCCGTGTCATTCTCTTCCCCTTCTGACTCCTTTTCTCTCCAAAGCCTTAAAAAGGAGACCAAAACTCAGAAAAAACATGGGTACCTTGGTGGGGCATGTGGCACCAGGCTTTGCTTTCCTTCTTCTTGGTTTATGGCATCTCTTTAATCATGTCAAGCTCCATTTGCTCCACCCAAATTCATACACTTCTTCTCCATGGTTTCCCACCTCCAAAATAAGGTACATAGAGTTGTTCTTGATCATGGTAGGTTCCTCCATCTCCATCTCCATGGAACTCTTTATTGGCCCGGAAAGGCACCAACCTTTTGACCCTGATGGAACCATCCCATCAAACCACCTCCACAACTTTGAACACTCTGCAATTTCCATGACCTTTTTTGTCTATGCAGTCTTTGCAATTCTCCTTGATAAAACAGCCCCTAAGGCCCAATATGATTTGACACAATTTCTGGGAGCTGTCGCCTTTGCCCAACAGCTTCTCCTCTTCCATCTCCACTCTGCAGATCACATGGGGGTTGAGGGCCAATACCACCTTCTCCTCCAAAGTGCCATTGTTGTATGTTTAGCCACCACCCTCATGGGTATTGGGATGCCTAAGAGCTTCATGGTCAGCTTTGTAAGATCCCTCAGTATTGTATTCCAGGGGGTCTGGCTCATACTCATGGGCTACATGCTCTGGACTCCGGGGCTGATTTCTAAAGGTTGCTTCCTCCACCTTGAAGAGGGTCACCAAGTGGTTAGGTGCTCGAGCGAAGAAGCTCTGCATCGAGCCAAATCGTTGGTTAACCTTCAGTTCAGTTGGTTCCTTGTGGTTATCTCAATTTTTGCAGTCACTTTCTATATGGTTTTGGCCAAATTCTACGGCCAAAAAGTTGAATACTCAACATTGACAGGGGAAGAATCGCTAAGGGAAGATTCCGATGATGTTGAATTTCATAAGAAGAGCAGAGTTGGGGACTCACAGAGTTTTGTTCAGTTGGGGAAAGTGCATTCAACAATTGACATCGAAAGGTAGAAGGCTATGAAAAGACTAAAGAGGGATTGGATGCCATTGGGTATGTGTACAAATTAATTAGATTGGTGGAAAGACTAATTTAATTAATCACCACTCTCTATATATTGGTTTTTTCACCTTTTGTTTTTCTTTGGTCACCCCCCACTTTTGTTTGATTATTAAGCTCCCAATGATGTTTGCTTAATGAGAACAAAGTGGCCTCAGGCAGCAGGGGGCTGAAAATGTGTGTTGGGAGAAATTTGAGTGGAATTTGCTTGGTCTTATTTATGGCTTTTGAGATATGGGGATCTCAATGTTTGTACGTGCCTGTAATGTAAAGAAAAAAAAATTGCTAGTAAAACATGAAAATTTATTTTTTAGTGCTATTGTTGCATACATTTAAGGGAGAACCGAAAAAAGACCAAGGAAAACGGTATGACCTTTTTTCTTGAACTCTAAAGAGAATTTTAAGGTCGGGCATTTGGAGGTTTTTCTTTTTTCTTTTTTTTGCAACATTCGTTTTACCATCTTTTTGTATCTAACTTTTTTGAAGACTTTAAAATTTGGATAAGACTCATGCTTAACTCTTTTCATGTGTAATTTTGTTTTTATATATTTTAATCACAATCTCTCTTTTGAAATAAAATTTTAATTCATATTCTTTATTCTAGAATACATATTTTCTAGTTTGACAAATTTTTAAAAATAAAACATACTGAACTTTTAATTAAAAAAGAATATTTGGTATGGGACTGTGGAAAATCATTCTGTCCAAGGAGTCAATGCCTAAAATGGTAATAGAAGACATATATTTTTAACAAAATCATATAAAAAAATTATTAAAAGTATTTGAATAATTTTATATACAATCTTTTCATCAAAATGTCCGATATCCTAATTTCACTTTTATCATATAGTTTAATTTGAATCTTGTAGAATATGGATATGTTTCTTGAGAAGTTGCTTTCTGAAATCTTTTACAAGCAAGAAAACAATTAGAAATGTCGCCCCTTTCAAAAGGATGGCAATTGAAGATGCCACGCACCTTGTCTTAAACTTAGACACGGAAGTAATATCAAATATGTCATAAATGAAAATGACTCCAGCTACATGCAAAACATGAAGGCCGATCAATTTTATATTTTATCATCCTTTTCTTTCATAGAAAGCATGATCATACAAATAATTTTTGTCAATTGTAAATTATGAGTATGATGATCATGATGTATTGAAAGTTGGTTAAGGAGATAATAATAGTGCCACTTGCACTTGACAAAGTAAGTTTCAAGCCCCTAGCCACAACCAAGTGACTTGAGATGGATAATATACATGATGTGGCTAGCTTACTTCTCATTTTGGCGAATGATTATTAGCAAGAACCAACAAAGAAGAATTCATAAACCTACAATAACAAAAATTGGACAATGGTTGGAACCCTTTCA